GTGTCCCAAAAAAACCGAAAAACCACTGAAATAACGTATTGTTAAAATTTGAATGCCCTAGCACTAAGCCGAACGCAAAGTGCCAAAGATGCGTAAAGTATTAACAAGGTTGCATACATTAAATATTGACTTATTAAGAAATTAAAATATCTTTGCAAAGCACACGATTTTCCGCTCTTGGGAATTTAAAACAGCTTCTTAAACGGTTTTTTTATGCATAAAATTTGCTTACGTCAAGTTTTGATGCACGTGTGGGTTCAGCAGAGTGCTGAGGCATTCAAATTCTTACAATACATTTATTTCAATAGTTTTCTTTTTTTTGGGACACCCTGTATAATAAAACGCTCTTGGTCATGCATGCTTGCAAAGCTTGCAAAGTTTTCGATCGAACCGAAATTTCTATTGTTCAAATTCAAAAGATTTCTGATTAGTTCCATCTGAGTGCTTGTAAGACAAAAGAAAATTTCGATTCGGTCGAAAAATTTCGCCTATAGTGGAATACCGCATTTATGCTGGTTTTCCACTTTCGAATTTTTTCGCGCGAGGCGAATTTTTCCATTGTGTTGCAGTCGCTTTGCCCGCGTGCATGGGCGGAGCGGGCTTTGAAAATCTGCTCATGCGAGCGTGACGAGTTTCAAAAACAATGAACGCTTCGCCCGCGCCAGAAAAACGAACGTTAATGGAAAAAGGCCTTTAAGGCCGGATTCCACGAGGCGGAATTTTTCGACCGAAACGAAATTTCTCTTTGTCTTTTTACAATTAGTTCTGCTTGAGAGCTCATGAAACAAAGAGAAATTTCGATTCGGTCGAAAAATTCCGCCTAGTGGAAAACCGCCTTTAAGGCCTGTTTTATACGTCGAATTTTGGTCGCGTCGAATGCAATTCAAACAATAGATAATGAAGCTTAACAAGGATTATCATCTCATTACCTATTGTCTTAATTGCATTCGACGCGACCAAAATTCGACTACATATAAAACAGGCCTTAGTTTTTGCACGCGAGTGGTTCGCTTTAAATTAGAAAATATATTCCCTGGAAAAAAAGGAGATAATAGGACTTGAGGCACATTCACTATTCACTGGCAAATTTCAGAAAGAAGAAAGGCCACTAATAATCAATTTTTCTCTAGGCAATACTTTGTTATTCCTACCAAAGAATCATCAGAAACTTTAAGAACCTCTTCTAACATGTCAACAACAACACCACTGTAGATTTATGGTGGTCAACACCAATATGATCGCCATTGGCCTCGTTTATGCAGAGCGGATGCCCTCATTATCCAATCCTATTTTTGAGATCAATGCCTATTGCTACGCAAAATGAGGAAATAATTTACACCCTTTCAAATTCAAATCCATAACCTTTTAAATATTCGTTGCTCTGCAGTAATTTTAATATGCTGACTTGAATAATGCTTAATTTAAACATTTTTCTTTGAGTTGTGTATTTGTTCAAAGTACAAATAGAAGTTATCCTAAATTCCCATGTGCAGAAGACCTCGTGTTTTCACGCATCATTAATTCGAGAAAATATACTGCTGTCAAATTATTACAATAGCTTACGGTTAATTTGAATTTGAAAGGGTGATTTTTTTTTATACACAGGGTGTATAAAAAAAAACGCAACCTCGGAATTTCCCAAGAAATCGACATTGTTTTAAAGACAAATAATTTTAGGCGCCTGGGAATTTAAAATAGCACAACTGTCAAAATTACTGCACACGCGAGTGCATAAAGCAAAATTTATGCATTTATTTAATGCACAACAACAGTAATATGATCTATTAGCAATTCGATTTCAATTCCCAGGGGCCTAAAATCTTTTATGCTTAAGAATTGCAAAGTGATTTCTTAGGAAATTCCGAGGTTGCGTTTTTTTATACACCCTGTAGAGCGTTTGGCCGTTTGCACATGAAGTCACAGCCGCCATGTTGGTGTTGCAATTGAAAAGAATCTTAATTAGACTCTTTTGTCTGGAACACCAACATGGCTGCCATGGCTTTTGCAGAGTTGTCCCCTGGGGAATGCGTGCAAACGTTCTATTAAATTAGTTATCATTTTTACAGTGACAACAGGAGAAAGAGACAGGGCAATGCCCCAATTTACATCAAACTCCTGAAATTTCGTCATTTGGGCAAGAGTGCCATAAACAGTACAGTCTATTAATTAATAAATACACTTGAAGTTTCTTACCAGAATCAATCCGTTGGCTGCTAATCAAAGGCCGTAGTGAAGAGGCAAAACAAGTGGTCCAAAGAATTGCAACATTTAACAAGCAACCATTTCCTGAAAAGGAGTTTAATAGAGCGGTTGAAAGTAGTAGGAAGTTGGAAACAAATGTGGAGAAAAGTTACACAGTTTTGGATTTGTTAAGATATCCTGTTTTGAGGAAACGCTCACTTATTCTGGGATTAATATGGTATGTCATTTATGCTGGATCGGCACGAGCAGTCCCAAACTCCGTTATTCAGTTTTACAACGGGAGGATAGTTATTTATACAGGAATGGCTAACTCTATCAGTTCTAAACTGTTCTTTCTAGAGGTCCAGTCAGCCTCATCCCTTATCACGTGTTTATTATATTTTATTTCATTTTAGGTTTTCCATATCATTTGGATATTTAGGTCTTGTATTGAGTGTTTCACGCCTAGCTGGAAATAAATATCTAAATTTCTTCATAAGTGGAGCATTGGAATTTGCTATGACGTGGCTGGTCACATTTTACGTCATAGGGAAGTAAGTCACTCCAGTTTCGTCATGCATAGTAAAATATTACCAGAAATTTTAGATACGATTATTTCTACTTTTTTAATAAATTAATTCTTCAATTCAATGTAGTGTCACCATTTTTGCAAAAGTGCAGCAAATACATTTAAATTCTCCTTGTTTGCGAATTTTTACTTTTTAATACAGTACCTGCACTGTGTAAATTATGGTAAAATGACGACACCATATTGGAGAGCTAATATTCAAAATTAGAAATGGAGGTTATATTTGCATGTCTAAAATTTCAGCTGATAATGCTGGAAAAATAAGCGGATCGACGACCCTAGCAGGATAGTATAGTACGGAGTGCATGTTTATCTTTAGATTTGGTCGGCAGAAACCAATGAGTTTTTACGCTGTCGCTGGAGGAATAAGTTGTATCTTGGCTGGTGTATTATCTAAAGATACAGGTAATCCAACCGATCATGCGTATTACGAGGATCTATTTTAAGAATGTTTCAATACTGCACACTGCATAGATCGCGTATCGCCATTTAAGGCAATTTAGAATAGTGCTCATGCTCACGGATGTGGAAGAAACTGAGTCCGTGATAATGTTTTTTTTACATTTGCAAAGATACGGAAGTGTCTGCGATGCTATTTCTTCTATTTTGGAGAGTTTTTATAAAACATTCTAAAGACAGCAAATCTCAATTTAAGAACTGTTTTAAAATTACACATTTTGATAACTGAGCATGAATATTGTTTCTGGGGG